GGGACTGGCAAAGAAATGAATGACTCAGTTCGCAAAGTGGTACTCAGTTATGTGAATCGCGTTAAAGAGCTTGGTCGGTTTTTTGGCATATACTTCTCCATATGGATGAGGTTTTATGTGGTCGCGATATCGCAAAATATCTTCATGATGCGACATTATCGCCAGTCATTTCGATAATCTAAAAGTTATTAAGAGAATGAGATTATGAGTGCCGCATTCAGTGATGAGCATCAGGTAGATCTGATGGCAGTAACGTCAGTACATTTTATGAGTAGTTGATCGGCAGGGAACAGAGGCATTCATATTTTAGGATTTCATGTAGTAGGATGGATAAGTTGCAGGTTTACACCTAACTGGAACTGTAGTCGTATTTCCCAATACAGTAATAACAGAATATTTTGATAGAGTAAGACCTAAGCTATCAGCATTCGAGATATGCTACCGGGTAAAAATCTGTGATTCAAAATTCTAAATTTCCTTATCGTCGGTCTCACACTTGAAGATTCATCGATCCCTGTATCATCTGTTCGCTCATATTTCCTCAAGATATTAAAGAAATCTTACTTAGCGTGTTCCAATGATTAATGACCTGAGCACTATGCATGTTGATGAGTGAAGCGTCATATTTCGGAAGCTACGCTGGGACTTATGGGTATGGGGCTGATATCAATTCTGTAATTTGTGTGCTCGTTTTGGATTAAGCTACAAATTTTCACTATCGCATTTTAGATATTGAGGGCATGCAACGTGAATTCGCTGAAATTCGTACGGTGAAACCGAAAGCATCCGAATGCGCTCAGTTTTTGGCGCATCGTGAGAAGAATCGCTATCGTGATGTTGCATGCCTGGACGGAACAAGGTTAGATACGGTATCCACCATTCAGTTGCAGTGTTACAGTACGCTATTGGATGTCGTTTGACGCTATTCAAGATAATAAAATTTGAACGAAATTGGGCATAAGTGTTTGGCATTCGTTATTTTTTCGATTCGTTTGTTTATGAGCACGTCGAAATTACGTTAGACTGCTGTCTGTAAATGGAAGAACATTGTAATGTTCATTTGATGTGAGCATTGATGGGACGTTTTCTCGACTGTGATTCATATATAGGGTGGTGTTGAAATTGAATGTGCCCCCAGAAACTGACTATATACATGCGAACTGGATGCACATGGAGGGTTGTGAACGAAGATATATCGCAACTCAGGTACTTATTCTCTGCTCTACCTTAGCACTCTCGTCGCCAACTGTTTCCATTGGTTTTCCTCGTTAGAGCTGTGTGAATCAGAAGTTGAAGTTTTCGTGTGAATGGCAATCGTTACAGGGACCACTTGATTCAACCATCGGTGACTTCTGGCG